ACCATCTCTGAATCTGCCATTCTCAACACTTTAAATAATGGCTTTGTTGTTTGGACTGAATACTGCACGCTCGGCCAGAAATATTTATCACGCAGAATTATTTGTTTCACAGCTTTTGCCTCTTGTGTTTTGGATAAATGGTGTGCATTCCATTCCTTTGAAACACACATTTCCTCCAACCGCTCTTTTACGTCCAGCATACTTTCAAGTGTAAGATAGGCCGTACCAAACCTTGTTGCCGCAGGACGAACAAGATCTCGTTTGGTAAACTCTCGCATGAATGCCAATGACCATCCGTGATTATATATGTAATGAGTCACCTTCCATAATTTATAAATATAATATAAGATAATGATAAGGTAATTGAATGTTTGGTTGGAAAAACATTTTAGATTGAAAAAATAAAATGCATTACCTTCTTTACTTTCACCAATGCATTCTTGTGTTGAGGAAGCTTCCCAATATCCTCAAGCATCAAATCAATACAGTGTGCCGCACATGGTGTCCACCACAAGCGCTTTCATTTTTCAGATAACTTCTCACCGGCAGCCTTGTAGTTCGAAGCATTATGAGTAACAATCTGAGTCACAATGTCTTCACCTACCTCTTCTACAACCTCATCAAATAGATTGCACAACAAGTCTGCATCTTTTACATGACGAGAAGCATCAACCGTTTTTAAGAAAACAGTTCCATAAGGATTGTTAACAAGAAAATTTATTAACTGTCTTCCTCGCATATCTTTCCACCCATCTGAAAGTATGGAGACCCCGGTTTGTGTCCACGTCCTTTTGACGTCATCAACAATTTTTTGAGTCGTTTTTACCTCTTCATCCAAGATCCAGTGGCTCAATTCATACGGTGTAGGTGGCTTAAAACCCCTGCCAAAATTACCAATTGCACGGCACATGTTTATGAACGAAGGAGAATTTGCAACATGAAATGGAATACCATTCTCAATATAAAATCTTCCCACATCTAGGCAAACTCCATCTCTAGCTTCTCTTTCGCTCATTGGTTTTTCTGGAATAGTATCAGGAGTGTCAACATTAACATCCACAACAAATCTATCCATTGGACCGCACACTCCCCTATTGGAGTTTCTACCACCGCTTGATGAACCAACAATTGACTCTGTATTTCGGTAGTATGCACCACTATCAATGAGCTCCTCTCGATTTCTCATGTTCACCTGTTTTGTTTGTGTGGCCAAATTCAAAGTAGATAACATTTCTTGTTTAACTTCATCAGGAACCTTTTCACAAGGTGCAGAATTTTTCCTTGTACCAGCAAGATGATGCTTAAATTGACTAATCCCGCCTTTTGTTAAAATTAGTGACCAACGCTAGAGGGGGGGTGAATAGCGTTTGATCGGAGAAATCGCAGGAATTAAAAAATTCAAGGGAGAAGTAAAGGGAAGAGTAAGAGGCACACCGAATTTTACCCTGGTTCACCACAACTTGTGGCTAATCCAGCCTCCCGAGAGACTCTCTCGAGCTACACTACTTCCGTTAAGCTTACGGGTGCTTAACAAACCGTTACAACATGAGAACTCGAGTCCCACGAGCCTCAACAACACTTGCTCGGAGATACCGCACTCCAAGACTTCAACCCGAAGGAAAATACCTTTCCTTCGTACAACCAAGGGAAACAAGCTTCCCTAAACGTGTTTAAAACACTAAGAACACTCAAGAACTAGACTCTCTTTAAGAGTAGATGTCGAGTAAACTATATACGCTCAAGAACAACTCAAACTTCACAAATTGGCTCTAGAAAGCTATGGAAAATAATGTTGTTTGGATGCAATGATAATATGAATATTGTGAAGTGAATTGATGTGTAAAGCAGACCCAAACACCCCTTTTTATAGTGCCAAAATAGGCTCCAACGGACCAATGCATTAAAGGGGTGATTGGCTTGATTTATGGGATTGAATAAATTTGGGATCTGCAGGATATTGGCTTCCCATCGATGTTTGGAACTTACCCATCGCTGGTAAGCCAATTTTCCTTCAGTTTTGAAGCCAACGGTTACCTACCCATCGATGGGTAAATGCTTCCCATCGCTGGGTGGGAGGTTGACTTTCAAATAAGGAAAGAATCAGCCTTAAATGACTCCCAACGGTCATGCCTTCCCATCGATGGTTAAGCCTTCCCATCGCTGGGTTCCCATCGATGGGTAAAGCTTCCCATCGTTGGGTAAGGGCATTCTGCCTTGTGGTAATGTTGCACCAAGGCTTTAACAGCGATGGGTAGAACTTCCCATCGCTGTTTGGCACGGTTCTGGAAATCAGTTTCATTGAGGGACTGCTTACCCATCGATGGGAAGATCTTCCCATCGCTGGGTAGCATGATTCTGGAATCCCGGGATCACTTACCCATGCATGGGTAAAATCT